AGGGGCATAGACGTTGTAGACAGAGATATAAACTTGCCCCTCTACAAATCATGAATACGATCTCCTCTTAAAGGAGAACTATGGGGTTAAGGCTTTTCCCCATAGTTCTCCTTTGGGTAATGTGGGAGGACACAAACTAGAGTCCTCCCGTCACCCTAAGCTCAGTATACCGCGAGCTGTAGCTCACGGTATACTGAGACGCCGCAGTATACCACCGCCGGACAATTGTGGCGGGATCCGCTTAGCTGCGTGACTGACAGCTGGCTCTGCCTATCTAGAGGCAGAGCCAGCTGTACCCGCCCCCTCCCCCGTCCGTTCCGCCAGTCAGCGCTGGCAAATTGGAGGGGGGAATCCAGCCCCTCCCCTGTCACGGCAGAGAGCCGTGACAGGATCGAGAGGTGAGTGAACGCCGATATGTGTTCGCTCACCTCCCGATCTACTGAGCCGACCTGTGACAGTCTCATTGTCACAGGTCAGCTAGAACTATGAGGTGAGTGAAAAGCACTAACCTCATAGTTCTCCTTTAAGTACGCATTTAAGTTTTTGGCATCAGTTCACAAACATGATGTGACGGAAATGAAGAGAGTGCAGGGAATGACAGATAAATAAAGGACATAGAGGACCTCAGCTATAAGGAGGGTGTGCTAGAGGGGTATCATTCTGCGTTATGGATGTTTGATAGCCTAGCACAGGGGTAGCCAAACTCCAGCTCTCCAGCTGTGGTAAAACTACAAATCTCATGATGCATCTCTCTACGGGAGTCATGTCTGTGGCTGTGAGAATCTTGCAATGCCTCATGGGATTTGTAGTTCCACCACAGCTGGAGGGCCGGAGTTTGGCTACCCCTGGCCTAGCCAATCAGAGGGCCTGGGGAACATGCTGGAAGAACTAGTAAATATCTGGGACACTTCCTGTTCTGTCTCTTTCCTCCTGGGTGTTTGTCATGTGGGGATACCATCCTAGAATTTCAATTTCTTCCAGGCCATGGGCCTAACCATGGACGGGTGCAGGATCTCTATTGGGAGGACCATCTGAGGGTGTTGGTCAGCTGGAGAAGAGTCCTAGAGGAAATAAGTTGCAACTGTCCCCATATACAGATATGTGAGTGACTGGCTGAGTGGAAAGTATACACAGAGATTGAGAAGAGATACCATTAGAACCTCAGTTGCCAAGGAAGCAGAGCTCTCAAGGAGTCCATCCAGCTCATTTTGTGAACTGAAGTCAACTATGAGAGACTTTAGAAAAAGATCTAGAAAAGATTATGGCCTAGTCCAGTGATGGCGAACCTTGGCACTCCAGCTGTTTTGGAACTACAAGTCCCATGAGGCATTGCAAGGCTATGACAACCATAGACATAACTCCCAGAGGCAGATGTATGTTGGGATATGTAGTTTTGGCACAGCTGGAGTGCCAAGGTTCGCCACCACTGGCCTAGTCTATTGTTTGAGATCCAGTGTACTATAGGGATATCCTGATCCTTGTATAAATATATGAATGGTTCATACTGTAATCTTTGATGCAAAGTTGTTTACTTTAAGTTCATTGCAAAGGACGAGGGGGCACTCTTTGCATCTGGAGGTGTTCCAGACTGACATTCACCCATCAAGCCATTTTGAGATTTGCATAATTCCTCTGTAGAGCCCATTGCTTGCATCATGGCTAAGGCTTTTCAGAGGAGAACTGAGGCAGGACACTGTGGTGTTTTCAGAAAGCTATGTACAGTACCCTGCTGGGCCTTCCCACCAGCCATGATCTGCCTGCATTGCACAGAGCCCCAGGGATGACATCACTGGGTCCAAAATAATGTATTTAATGAAAAATGCAATAGCATATTGATTGCACCTGAATAGATGGTTTAGGCAGCTCAGTGGCGTCACAAGGGGGGTTCGGCCCGCACCCAGGTGACACCATTGGAGGGGTGACACCAAAATGACTTACAGTCATTTTGGTGTCACCCCCCTCTGAAAAGTCGGGCGCTCGGTCATGGACCGAACGCCCGACAGTATCTTGAGAGAGGAGGGGACCCGGCGGCATACCTTATCCCGCCGGGTGGCTGTCTCCTCCTCTCTCTGCTGGCGTCCATCATCCAAGATGGCCGCCGGCAGGTATCAGAATACTCCCGCGCGTGCGCGATGACGAAATAAAGAAACGTATCTCAAAGTAAATATTCCCTTGTGATCCTAACGATTTCTGAAGATAATAGGTTTACTAGTCTAATAGGGACAACAAGCGAACAGGCTAGTATAACTACAATGGCAACGAGTTACATACAAATCTGTATCCAATTTAACCATACACAATACAATCTCAGGAATAAAATAGAGAAAGATATGAAAAATGATCACAAGAATTCACCCCGCACACTGTTAATTAGAATTGTAAACAAAAACACTAATAAAATGTAACCGCTATGATTTTGGAGTAAAAGTTAATTCTTCATATATGATCAATATCTCACCAATCCTTCAAAAGAAAAATGTTCAGAGTCTTATTGGATGAGATGATGGCTCGTTTTAGGCAGCAAGGGTTAAGTCTTTAGCACTGGTCGCTGAGTGACAGTCCTTTTGTTATATCCAGGAAGTTTTCTCTAGACTCTTCCTTCTCCCTCTCCTCTTTCTCTTTTCTTCCTCTCCTTCTTTTTCTTTCTTTCTTCCTCCTTTTTCTTGGTATTTGATATGGTTTGAGAGCATTGTTCGTATTGGCGACTCCCCAACCACTATTTACTTTCTTCCAATTGATCGGTTCAGAAATGGTAGTTGATTGGTTGTTTCACTCATATCGTCTGCACTCAGTTGAGTAAGCCTTGGATGTGTTTGATAACTTACTCAACCTTAGACAATAATCACAGGTGATATCAATCTTGAAACAATAGGGCGAATTAGCTGTCTTGGAGTTTTTATGTTTCTTGGTTAATTTTTGTATGGGGCAAAGATATCCTTAATCCGGGTCTTTCTTGCTTCATTTCTTTTGTTTACTGACCGTGAAGTCTTAAAGGTCTTTCAGCATTGTCAATTGTGATTACATGGTTACTCAAATTCTTAGACTTCATTTGCAATGTTTATCTCTTTGAATTTAGTTGGTTAGTACAATAGCTGGTTCCTCAAGGGTCTCTTGTATTGTTTGCTCATTGCTTAGTTTTGTACACAATAGGCTGTTTTGGTTGATTAATTTATCTGTCCAGCACAGACTTCTGGACCCTTGTTTTACAGTGTACAGAAAAGTTTGATTTTAGTTTTCTGTACAAGTCACAGTTCATCAGTTTTATGTCATTTTTATATAGAAATACCCTGACAGGTCCTGAGTGGAGATACTTCATTTTTCAATCATCAATCACCCACAAACAGTGACAGCGTATAGTGTCTGTGGACATTGTATTGCTGCCTACTGCCCAATCACACCTGCGAGTAATGACCCGCCTCCCGGCTTCCTGATTGGGCTGAACTGCTGGCTGCCGGCTCCATGCTGATTGGCTGGAAAGACAGCTTTCCGGCCAATCAGCATCGAGCCAGTCATACTGCTGGGTCTTTGCTGATTGGTCTGCAAGCCAGCTTTCCGGCCAATCAGCATTGAGCTCGGCCGCAAAGTCGGCTTTTTGCTGATTGGCCGGGAAGCCGGCTTTCCGGGCCAATCACCATGGAGCCGGCTTCCCGGCCAATCATGAAGCTGGGAGGCGGGTCATTTCTCGCCGCCAGGCTTCCTGATTGGCCAGGAAGCCGGCTTGATGCTTATTAGCTGGTAAATTACTCACTGCTATTATCTTCTATCCCCTTAGTTCAGATGAACTGATTCAGGTGAAGTGTCCAATATTTGTTAAGGCTGATTTTTTTTTAAAGTCCTTAAAAGGGGAAAATAGTGGCTTCCGTGACTGGTTGGCCATTTTCTGCTACCTTTGTAACGTTCATGTACGAATAAAATAGAGTTCTGGACTCTTGATTCATGTGATTTGCGCTTCCTTCTGGTTTTCTGTGGACTTCTTAAAGTGACATTAAACCCTCAGATTTTTTAACATAAAACAATACTGTAATGTGCGCCTTACTGTAATCCATGGCTGTTTCCCTTCTCTTTGCTGCTCTTCCTTTTAAATCCTCATATCTTCTCATGCTTGGGGAGAACTTCCCTTTGCAGCTCAGGGCCTCTTCCTGTAGTGCTGGCTCAGGTAACAAACCTATACACAGACACCATGTATCCATTCCAGAGACAAGGCAGTCTGCTGCAAAACAGAAGTTCTGCCCAGCATGAGAACAGATACAGATTTAAAAGGAAGAGCAGCAAAGAGAAGGGAAACAACCATGGATTACAGTAAGGCGCACATTACCGTATTGGTTTATGTTAAAAAATCTGAGGGTTTAATGTCACTTTAAGCTCCCTAAGAATTCCCTAGAGCTCCCTAGGTTTGGCAGCTCTCCACAAAGCAGGGGGCTTCCCAATTTAAGGCCACTGCATGTTACACTGCACTCCTGACTGGTATATCCCTTGGTTCGTTGGGTGCTGAAGTAATAGTGGATGGCACTGCCCGGATCAATGCAGAAATTAATTGTCACCAGCACACCGAAGCGAATGCATGCACATTCGTCTTTATTGACGAGTAAACATCATGTAACAAAGGGTGATGTTTCGGGGCTGCTTAGGGTCCCTTCATCAAGCTCCATATAAGGGTCACATTGGGAAGCCATATGCTATGTGGAGAGCTGCCAAACTTAGGCATTTATGAAAAGACTGTCTGTGAACTATAAATTACCGGGCCCAGTGCCTTACCTCTATTTCAGAGGTCCAGGACTTGGGTTTGTTTCTAGCAAGGGGGCCAAAAACAGAATACGAAACCCTTTGGCAGATAAAAGAGCTCCTTTATATGTATTTCAAATGTGTATTTTACTGTTTGCCTGAAGTTCAGCTTTAATAGGCCTGTTTTGCTGTGCTGCATAGAACAAGTCAATACCTTGTTTGATGACTTCATAAACTGATCCCCTTTTTTCCTATCTCTACCAGACTTTACTGACACAATGACTATCGCTGATCCAGTGACAATGTTACTATCCATCATTCTCTGTGTATTGCTGGCCATTGCCTTTTATGGATGGAGAAGAAAGACCCCCAACTTTCCTCCTGGACCCACACCCTTACCTCTCATTGGAAATATGCACATCCTGGACTCGAAGCAGCCGTATACATCATTGAATGAGGTAATACTGACCTCCACAGACAATTCAGAAGCAAAGCACAGGTGGAATCCCAGAGTGGACAAGCATAGGCACATATTTGGACACCCCTAATCCAATGACATGCTTAGTTCTCATACGGGATTTGGCAAAAAAACCCAAAACAATTGACACAAATTTACAGATTTCATCAAAATTAGCATTTAATTTTGCCATGCAGCAACGCTTAGGGGAAATCTGCTTGAAAGAAAAAGATCTACTTTTAGGAAATCTTCTCATGTTGTATTGCAGGCAAGGTGTGGTGGGGCACCATTTACATATGAATAGCACCACACTGTTGATTGTATGCTAACATGCCCTGTGCAAAATGTTTCACATGTGGCCCTTCCAGATAGAAGATAAATTAGCGGTTCAAAAGAAATAGAATCGTTCAATAACTAAATGTTTATTTGAAGGGAAAAAAACATTATTATTTGTAGTATTGTTATCATTATTACTGTTGTTGTTATTATTATTATTACCATCATTACAAAAAATACTATTTATTATTATTATTATTATTATTATTGCAAAATAACTTTTTAAAACAAATTTTGTCCATTTATAAGCCTATCATAAAAAAAAAAATGATTAAGGGTACCAAATCATGCAGGGTACCAAATAAACGCCATGTGTGTCCTCTAAATATTTTTTAGGTAGGAAATGCAGTCATAAAATTATTGGCAAGTTAAATAGTTTGTCAAACCAATAATATTGTATTTTTGTTAGTTTTTACTGCTATCCGGGGCTTCCTTGGAGAGTTTTCCCCTCGCTTTTTGTTCGCCTTGCAATAAATATTTTACCAGACAGGAAGTGATTAAAAAAAACAGAAATGGAAACCTAGAACCTAGAAATGGGGATACAGTATGTCTGTGCTCAAATTACATAGTTACATAGATACATAGTTAGTCAGGTTGAAAAAAGACACATGTCCATCGAGTTCAACCTACAGATATATGGGGGGAAAAATCCATTAATATACAGAATACAGGGATTTTCGATTTACATATGTTGCAACATATGTTCAAGCTGGCCACATGTTCAACCTGAGTCAAAGCAATTCCTTGATGGCCAACTGCATCATAGTGATCACTCTCTAATCAACTGAGTCAAAGTGATCCCTCTCTGGCCAACTGTGCCATAGTGATATCTTCCTGGCCAACTGGGTCAAAGTGATAACTTTCTGGTCAACTGCGTCATAGTGATCACTCTCTAGTCAACTGGGTCAAAGTGATCCCTCTCTGGCCAACTGTGCCATAGTGATCCCTATTATACTGTACAAATACTTACTTGGTCATAGCATACTTTAACAGACATATAGTCCCATTTTGAGGCAGACAGTTGGAGAGCTACAGACTTAGGTCTGGTCACTGACCTGCACTATACAATAGAAATGGAGAGGGGTTCTAGCCTTCCCCTTCATTAGGAAGAAATAGGGAGCTCCCCTTACTTCGTGTCTGAAATTTTTTTTGTCAGCATGACATGAAGTAATGTAAAACAATCTCTTGAACAGAGTCCAGGAGGATAGCAGTAAAATCCCAGCAGGGGTTCTCATCCTCCCACCACTTTAACTAACATAAATGTTTTTGGCTGTAGACACACTTTATCTCATATATATTGACACTGCTACATTTGGTCTGGACATCTAAACTTCAATAACCTCATGAAGAGGTTAAACATCTGTTGTAAAATATTAATACTGTTGACATCTGGTTCACTTACAGCTCTCGAAGAAGTATGGTCCAATATACAGCATCAAGATAGGAGAGGAAACAATGGTGGTCCTGTGTGGATATGAGACCATAAAAGATGCTTTGGTAAACCATGCTGATGAGTTTTCTGGAAGGCCGATAATACCACTCTTGCAAGAAATCACTAAAGGACACGGTAATATAAATGTTTCCTATTTTTCTTTATGTTTACCTCTCTTTATATGGAATGTATAGGGTTTATTATGTTCATGAATAAACAGCGCCGCATCACTGGTTGCTAAGACATTGGTGGCCCCATAGCATCACAGGTTGACAGAGGTTTGGCAAACTGTCCATATCATCCACCTATTTGACAAACAACTTGGTTTCGTGACAAACTCATGGTTGACCCAAACCTGAAGCTCATCCCTAGTCAACAGCACTCCTCAAATCAAAAGTGGAATTATATGCTAGGTAGTCATGTAAGATTCGTTTCGTTCCGAGTTAAAATTTTGGACAAATATCAGCATATTCGGAAGTTCAGATGCATGAGAATTTCCGGATGCAACAAAACAAACAAATTCATACGAATACAAATTTTGCAGTACTGAAAATTCGTATGCATTCGAATGTTCAGAGATGAACTGAAAAATGTTAGACAATCCCTCCCCCGAAAAAAAGAAGTGTGGGGTTCCCCCCAAAATCCCTTACCAGACCCTTGACCTGAGCAGGGGCCTGGCAAAGCAGGAAAGGGGGGAAACATTGTACACCCCCCCATGCACTATACCAGGCCACATGACCTCAACATAGGGAGCGTGCTTCAGGAGTGGCAAGAGTTGGTTGGGTTTGGACATGGTGGGGCGGATTTTTATGAAAGTGGGCATCCAGATTCCTAAAGCCCCCCTGCCTTCAGATCCCTACAACCACGGGGCCAGGGTTGTGGGTAAGAGGCCCTTGTCCTTATTAGCATGGGGACAGGGTGTTTTGCCTCCCTAATGAAGCATCCTCCCCATGTTGAGGGCATGTGGCCTGGTATGACCACATGATCACCCCCCATTCCCCCCTTTCCTATTTTGCCAGGCAGCTGCTTGGATCAAGGGACTGGTAATGGATTTTGTGAGGGACCCCATGCTTTTTTTTTGCGTTGGGGGTCACCCCTACAATTCCTACCAGACTTCAAGGGACTAGTATGAATTGATGGAGGGCACGCTGTTTTTTAAAATTATTTGTAAATATGAATAAATCTGAAAATGAGAACGAATAATTGAATCCATCCGACACCCGAAAAACAAATACAGGACTGATCGGAATTTTAGATCTGATTTCGAAAATGAAAAAAAACAAAATTAAGAAATCATCCAAAACGGAATCTAAACTAATTGTCTGGCGGCTTACATGCTTATCCATTTTTGTGACCTCAGTTGGGCTTTAAAGTGTTATTAAACCCAGTTGAGAAAATAAACAATTATGTAGCCACACCTACTGAGAGCCTTCTATGCTGAGCCAGGGGGATGATTTACTAAATGCATAGGCTGTTCACTTTGCAAGGGAATTTGCACATTGCAGGGGAAGTTTTCCCTTAGCTGGGTGAATGTGGGGAAATTTCACTTCGCAAAGAATACCCAATCATGTTACTTTTGTTTGCACTTGATTGGGTGATGGAAGTCAGTAAAACTTCACCTCATTCACTAAACTAAGGGGAAACTTCCCTTGTAAAGTGCAAATTCCTTTGCAAAGTATGCAGATTGTTTTCCTTTAAGAAATCAACCCCATTAGGTTCAGGGTATCATCTGCTTTTAAAAGATTACTGCAGTATACGTCTGTTTTTGCGGTGGTTCACTTGTAGGGCCACTATGGAGCACCATTGTACCCCTGTAATGTGCAACATCCCCCCTATGAGCTACAAACTGACGTGAAGCTGCTCTGTGCACGAATACGCACAGATGGTACATAGAGGCTGCTGTGAAAGAGGACACTAACAATATGGGCATGTTTACTGAAATAGAAAAAAAGTATCTGAAACATCAGAGCACATACAAAGTACCATAAACGTACAAATGTTCATAAGACATGTAGTCCCGCTGTCAGGGCTTTGGCTAGAGATTGTGCTCCCCGACCGGCAGTTCTGGAATCCTCCACAACTGGGACACAGAGTGGGGGCTCCTTTCTGGGGTATTGCTTGTTGTTGGGGGCTGACGTCACTGGTTGCCAAGAGCTTGCTCGGACACCAACAACAAAGTCTCAGATTGCTTTGAGCTAGGTGGGGAGATGTGTATGGCCCTTACACATCTCCCCACCCCGCCCGGCCATGCCGCTCTACCCACCTTCCCCACGAGATGCTGCCTGGTTTGTTAGATTAGAGCAGCGGTCTCAAAGTACCGGCCCGCAGGCCACTTGCAGCCCGCGATCCGGTACTATGTGGCCCGCAGCCAAGTGACAAGTCAGGTACACGGACCGAAATAAAGGATCAATTAGTGAGATATATATGTGCAAGGCTAGCTTTTTTTTAATGTGTATGGGGGGAAGTGTATTATTTTACATGTGCAGGGGGAGGTTTTATTTATGTGTATGGGGGGAGGGGGAGGACGGGGGAGGTGTATTAGGCTACATTCACAACTGTATCTTTAGGTGCAATAAGGAATTCCTGCATCAGGAACTTGCGTTTTCCTGCAGCAGGAATGCCTAATCTGGTGTTTATAAGTGGCATCTGTCACATATTCAAGGTAATGATCAGGTGGCAGCAGTTGAATGTAAACGCCTGCACACCGCATGTAAAGATACGTGATATGCTTACATTCGGTTAGGAATCAGTCACTCTCCATGGACGTATTGATTGTGCAACCAGGGAGAGTGTTTTATAACCGCATGTAATCATATCACGTATCATTACATGCGGTGTGCAGGTGTTTACATTCAGCGGCTAACACCTGATCATTACCTTGAATAGGTGACAGCTGCCACTTGTAAACGCCAGATTAGGCATTCCTGCTGCAGGAAAACGCAAGTTCCTGACACAGAAATCCCTAATTGCACTTAAACTTACAGATATGAATAGGGCCTTATTGTGTGTGTATTGGGGTCCGTAGTACCAAACCAGATATAGTTACATTTTATTTTGATGTACGAAATTTGGCAAGCCGGCCCCCATGAGGGAAACAAATTTGTCGAGTGGCCCCCGAGTCAAATGAGTTTGAGACCCCTGGAGTAGAGTGTATTACTTACAGGAGGTCAGCTGGTATTTGCAAATATCAACAGGGGTCATTTAGGATATACAGTGACACTTTATTAGATATGTGTGAACTTATGAAGTTTTATCTTTCTTCTGCTCAGGAATGACTTTTTCAAACGGTGAAAACTGGAAGGTGATGAGAAGATTTACCATGTCCACTCTGCGAGATTTCGGGATGGGGAAGAAAACAATTGAAGACAGGATTCTGGAAGAATGTGACTGTTTGGTGAAAGAGATCAAATCATTTAAAGGTCTTTCTTCTCAAATTTTTGATATCACTGTTTTTTTATTATTATTGTAACGGACATTTCATTAACATTTATTAATTATTAATTTTCAAGGATTTAGAACAGCTTTCAAACGTACAGTAGATATCTAAAGAGGGTCATAAGGACCTCTAGTGTGCCTGGAATCTTTAGCTATTTTGTATTGGATCCTCTCTGTAAAGGCAAACCTGTGCCAGGTACACACTGTGTCCAAATGTATGTGGAAGCCATCCATAATATTGAGTTCAGGGGGGCAAAAAGCCAGCTCCCTAGAGATATGGTTTGAAGAGTTTGGTGTGGAGGAACTTGAATGGTATCCACAACGCCCTGACCTCAACACTACTGAACACCTTTAGGATAAATCAGAAAGCTGATTGTGAACCAAATATTCTCATTGCCCTATAACAGACTCCACCAACCTTGTAAATGTTCTACATTTCTGCTGGCTCTCTGAAAGGTGACAGTGGGGCTTGAGGCACATAGGCAGAGGCAGCAGCCACTGGGCTCAGAGCCGCAGGGAGTAGCATGCCCGGTCTCCGGCTGCATGAGGATACCACCCGACAGCACAGGACCCTGTGGGAGGTAGCAGGTAAGTACACACAAAGGATCCCTGTTTCTGTGCCAGTGATTGCTTGTTGATGACTGTCCATGTCATCTTGGAGTTTATGCTTTCCAATAAAGTGATCTTCCTAGTTGGGTACATTTTAAATCCAAAAGTGTTGGGATGAGACCCTTTTAATGGTCATGTGGGGATTTAGAGATATAGGGGAGGGAGTAGTAGGGTAATCGTAGCTGGAGTAGGTAAACAAATTATTAAGGAAAACAATGTGTTTTAAAATGGGGCGCGATCATGCCAAAGAAAGCAGAGAGGTTCTAAAATATATAGTAGCTTGGCAGTTGATTGGCTGGATGTCATAGTAGGCAGCAGGGCCGGTGCTAGGATCGTAGTCAAGGTGGGCAAGGTGCAATTTCCCGACCCCCACCCCCTGTAAAAACAGGGCATTTTGACAAGTATTGTACTTGTCAAAATGCCCCGATGTTTGCGCTATGGTTTTTAATTTTTTTTCACCCACCTTCGGTGCGGAGAGCAGCGGCAAGTCAGCGCTGGTCCGGTGGGAGGAGCTCCAGGTGGGGTCCTAATTTAGCTGGCCGGCGACTGCCTGAGGTACCGTGCGTGTCGGGATCCTCAGGCAGTCG